CAGATATGAGTTCAAAGTAGTTTCAAGCTGCCAGACAAATCTGAGGGACAGACTATTTGTAGTTCCCGTGACCACAGAGCTTCTGTTTTTTTTTTAGGGGAGAGGTTTTTGCTTTAGGGCGCATGCGCTCACCAGACAGACAGAGAGAGACAGAGAAACAGAAAGCGAGAAATCACCCCCCAGGGGGGATGGTCACACCGCAATCCCTTCTCCTCCATTCTCCTCTCGGGATCTTGGGCACGCACGCACATGCGCCTGGCATGAGTTTTAAGCCACCGGGTCCGGGACACAAACCACAGTCGACTACGTGGGAGTCCAGCGACATAGCCACTACGCTAACTGCTGGTCCCCACAGAACTTCAGTTGTCAGGCCAGGTTTGCCGGTCTGCCTCTATACCAAGGACATAGGTACTGCCCCCCCCAAGGCCTCCTAACCCCCCCTATAAAGTGGTCTGTCCCACTGGTCCCCGGACAAGCTGCAACACAGTCTGGGAGCAGACGGGCTCTGGGACTACGCAGCGCATGCTAGGTGTCTAAGCAGATCTCTCTCCCTTAATTCAGGAAAGGGAATTCAGACTTAGAAGTCCTGGGACACTTATGCTGGAAAAGAGAAGTCAGGGAGAAGATGGAGGGCAGATTCGAACCCTGTCAGAATTCTGCCTCTACCACATGTCTGCAAGGCGAAAACGTACACAGGCGTGATACAATAAAAGCCCAAGAGGCAGCGAGTTAGATTATGGGTTTTGTTTTGTTTTGTTTTGTTTTTGAGAGGTTTTTGCCATAGGGCACATGCTCTCCCCAGAGAGACTGAGAAACAGAAAACGAGAAATCACCCCCGGGGGGGATCGCCACTCTAATCCCTTCTCCATTCTCCTCTCGGGATCTCGGGCACACACACGCCGCATGGGCTCCTGATTGAATTTCTCTTGGTCTGTATTTGACCCATTTGTTCTACTCAGTACTTTTTCATTTTTATGTCAGTAAAATAAACCCTTTCAATAAATAATTTGTACTTGATTCTTTTTAAAACCTGCTTCTCTCCTCTCCTTCCCCGACCCCCTCGCTGTGAGATGTCTGTGGATAGCGGGGCTAGATGTTCTTCACTGTCTGGGCGGGCGTCTAGCAGAACAGCACTTGGAGGAGAGGACTAGGGAAGGCCTTGTGAAAAAGGCGTCCTGGAAGGGCCACTGAGCATCGCATTGCCCTGGGCGAGGCCAGGTACGAGAGCCTGGAAATGGGGACCCCAGGGTCACAAGGTTTCCCACCGCTCCCGAGGACAGCCCATACTTCACCTCTCGACTATGTCCGTGCCTCCCTTCTAACCAGACAGACATCCCTACCGTACTCCCGTGCCACCTGTCCACATCCTGCCCACGTGCAGGGGCCAACTCAGAATGCCCTCTCATTGGTGAGACCTCTCACCTGTTCACCCTCAGCTGGAAATGACTGTCCCCTCTCCCACGAATGCCAAGAAGCATGCGAGTCCTCTCTGTCCCACTTGGGATTAACAGGAGCCGCTACAGGATTTGCCTGGCCCAATGCAACATGAAAACCCAAGGCCCTTGTTTAATAATTTATTACAAGTTTCAAAACAGCTATAATCGAGCATTTCGCAAAGCGCAGGCCCCTCCTGCGTGCAGGACTCTGCACCTTGGACAAGACACAAGCCGGGGATTACACTGTCCACTCCTAGAGCAAGTGAGTCGCACTAGGCAAACACCTTTTGTTCTTGGAGAGAGATCTTTGCTACAGGGCATGTGCGCTTACTGGAGAAATAGAGACAGAGAGCAAGAAATCTTCCCCCAAGGAGGATGCCACGCCACAATCCCTTCTCCTCCACTCTTCTCTCTGGATTTTGGGCACACACGCACATACACCTGGCGTGAATTTCAAGCCACCACGTCCAGGATTCATGTGGTCAACCATGTGGGAGTCTAACGCCTTAACCACTATGCCACCTGCTGGTCCCCAAACTCCATTTTTTAGATGTCCATTGAGATCCCCTCCCAGGGAAGGTCCTGAGCTGCTCCCCTCCCTCCTGAGCCCTGTTTTGGGGCTCCACACCTGCATGTCTGGGTGCCCACCTTGCCTCCCCACCTTGCTACGGACTCAGCCGAGTGCCCTGCCTCGGAGTCCTCGCTGGCCACCCTGAAGCCTGCTTCTCGCTTATCCTCGAGTCCTGCCTCACCGATGCCCCAGGCTGGCCTCTGTTCCTTGGAGTACAAAGGGGTTCTTTTCCTGCAGGGCCACTAGCTCCCTTTTTCTAGTCTCTCTTTTTGGCAGAAATTGCAAATACACCCTCTCTCTGCCAGCATGTTGATTAAAAAAATAAAATAAAAAATAAAGTAGCCCTTAGCATTCTTTCACCTGGTACAGGTCTTCTGTCTGAGTAAGTGGGGAGAGAGTTGCTTGCCGGATGCGAGAAAGCTTATTTAATGCTCTCGACAATCCGGGAACCAGCAGTTAGCATAATGGCTATGTCGCTGGACTCCCACGTAGTCGACTGCGGTTCGTGTCCCGGACCCGGTGGCTTAAAACTCACGCCGGGTGCGTGTGCGTGCGTGCCCAAGATCCCGAGAGGAGAATGGAGGAGAAGGGATTGCGGCGTGACCATCCCCCCTGGGGGGAGATTTCTCGCTTTCTGTCTCTATGTCTCTCTCTGTCTGTCTGGCGAGTGCACGCGCCCTACAGTGAAAATCTCTCCAAAAAAAAAAAAAAAGAATGCTCTCGACAATCCTTCAAAGTGTGCCCTGCTATAATTATTTCTTTTACGGATGAGTGAAATGAGACCCAGACAGGTTAGATCACTTTGCTAAGGTAATAAGGCCCAGGGCCCTTTCAGCCGCTGGCCTATGCTGCTTCCACATGTGGGCTCCTTCAAAGCAAAGACCTGTCAGTGCTCAGTGTTCTCCGTGTTACCTCTTTGCTCTTTTAGTACCGGTGGGTTTTAGGGCGACTAAGGACTTACATTTATTGATAGATTACCATGTACCGGGCTCTACACTGTAGATTTCACAAATGTCATCTCATTAAATCCTCAGTACATCTCTGCAAACCAGGTTTTACTGTCTATACTTAACCGATGAAAAAACTAAGGCTTAGCAAGATTTCATTTGGGGCTGACCCTGTGGTCTAGTGGCTAAGAGAGCCAGATCCTACATGGCTGACGACGTGGTTCCAAGCCCAGCCCTACTTGAAAAACACACCAAACACTTGTGCATGACTGCCCGAAGTCCCAGCAGGAGAAAGAAATGGGAAGAGCTTGTGGTGTAACTAGGCCCCATTGGGGGTTGCTTTCTCCCTCTCCCTCTGTGTCTGTCTTTTTCCGGTGAGTGCATGTGTCTTCTGGGAAATAGAGGGAAAAAAAAAAAAGATTTAATCCCTGGGTAGGTCACATAGCTGGTACGTAGCAGCACCAGGGTTTGGAGGTGGGTTTCTCCTGACTTTAACTGTAGGCTCCTAACCAAGCGAGGCCACTCCCACATCCGTGCTGCCCCATACTGCCCCTCTCCAGTTTGCTCACCCCTACGTTCCTGCTAGTATTCATCCTCCTGCTGCCTCAGTCCTCACTAGGATCTGAGTCCTGGAGCTCAATCTATTGCTTAATTCACCAAAAGATTTGTCTGTCCATTGCCCAATCCCAGTGCAGACAGAAAACTGCCCACTTCATCTGGCCCTGTGATCTGTACCCTCTCAATTTCTAATTGTTGCTTTCTACTGTTCTACCAAGAGCACCAGAAGCAGTGACCTCCCATGTCTTTAAATGTATTCAGGAGGGAACCAGCAGTTAGCGTAATGGCTATGTCGCTGGACTCCCACGTAGTCGACCGCGGTTCGCGTCCCGGACCGGGTGGCTTAAAAACTCACGCCGGGCGCGTGTGCGTGCATGCCCAAGATCCCGAGAGGAGAATGGAGGAGAAGGGATTGCGGCGTGACCATCCCCCCGGGGGGTGATTTCTCGCTTTCTGTCTCTAATGTCTCTGTCTGTCTGGCGAGCGCACGCGCCCTATAGTGAAAATCTCTCCAAAAAAAAAAAAAAATGTATTCAAGAGTTCAGACAACAAATAGTGACGAAGTGCTACCAGCTGAGAGCCTTGCTAAACTCAGGGGAGTGGAGGCTTAGCCCCACACAGGTCTCCCGTTATCCTCCTACATTTTCCCTTTTAACACACGAGAAGTCTCACCAGGCCCAGCCACGGTGGTGCAGCTGAATGAGAGTCCAGGCACGTGAGAGGCCCCGGTTTAGATTCTGGTTGACCTGAACATGTAGGGCGAGCTTCTGATCCTGCCTGGCTGGGTGGCTGTCGGGGGTATCTCTTTCTCTCTTTCTTATGACAGAAAGAAATAAACTTAAAAAAAAAAAAAAAGTTCTAATGAAGGCAATCTATGGAAAACAATAGGTCTGTTTGCTTTCTTTGTTAATCCTTTTGAGGGTCAAAATCAGTCTCTGGAAACCAGGAGAAATCCTCCTGGCCTGCCAGAAATCCTTTTGGCTAACCTCTATCACAAAATTGTTGAACTGTCCACTGCACACACATGTGCGTACAGAAGTCCACACGTACTCAGATAGCTACCGGAGAAAGACACGGAGAACGTGAGAAGGCACCCATCCCATTGGGGATGGTCAAATTAATAACTAATTTGACTCCTAATAACAAGATGATTCATCCTCTTGTTTACCCATTGGTGTCAGTCTTGCCTATTCAGTAGAAGGATGAGGTGGTCTCAGAATTAACTCACAGCCCAGCTTTTGGAGCAGGCAGTAGAGTACTGAACTGCAGTGCTGAACCACATGGCTGACCACGGGGTCGGCATCCCAGTGGGTCTGAAGCACATCAGATGTATGAGCACTCAAAGCGGATGAGTTGGAAGACTGAGGACAAAGTATCCCGGCGTGAGGAGAGAGTCTGTCAAGGGCAGCCCCCCTCCAAACATGCATATACTTTCTCTCATAAATGAAATTCATGAAGTTTTCTAAAATGAGAAATAAGCTAACTCACTCTAGAAGCAACTGATGGAACAGGGACAATGGAGGCCAGAGAAGCAGACCAGGAAACAGTGTAGACGTCACTAAATACCTAACGTCCAACGAACAGGTCAGGGTTTAGTCTGTGCGGCTGATTTAGTCTGCATAGCTCCTGAGGGCAGAATCTGGGTCTGTTGGTGAGGTTTCGGAGCAGGCAGAGGTTGACTCGATATAAAGGAAAAACGTGATTGCAGCTAGAGCGATTCGGCAACGGGATGGGCTGCCAGAGTGGTAGAGAGGGTTCTGTGTCTGAGCATTGTCAGGCAGACATCGGCGTCTAGAACAGGGCTCTGCCTTGAGTGGGGCCGGTCAGAGCACCCAGTCACTCCGTGCTGGGCAGGAAGGCAGATGCTGGAGATGCAAAGCTGAATGAGGCATAGACACCGCCGTCCTCTGAGAATCCTTCATCCCAGGGACTTACTGCAGCGGAGGGCAGGAGTCGCGGCTTACACGTGGCTCATGTGCTCACTCTAGCTGCCAGAGAACTGCGGAATCAGACCCAGCAGTGAGGATCTGGTTAAGAACGACATCTTTCATCTATGTTTCCATAGCACCTTAGCACAGTGTGATATCCAAGAAATAGTTCCGAAGTTAATGAACGTGTCTCCAGAGGATACTCAATACACGACAATAAATGGGTCCGCAGAATCTTCCGTGTTGACTCATTCTTTAAAGGGTCCATTCCAACCCAGATTGGTCACATGATGGATAAAGAAATGCACCAATCTAATAAGGTACAGTAAGTTACATGACCAGTAGCCACAGTGTGACCTTCCCACATAGCTCTTCTGCAGATCTCTGTGCCCCGGGGCTCCCGCAAGCACACCATGGAACGCTCTAGAAAAGATTTCACCTTTCATGTGCTCGTCTGAAGGGTACCACTCACTCACCTTGCTTTGAAGGGATCAAAAGTTGATGACAGAAACCGCCCCGAGGTGGACGTGATTCTCTGCATTGACTAGCAATTCTCTGAAAAACAACTGACTACAAAAGGTCTAATCATTTACTTTTTATTTACCTTTTAAACATGAGGAAGAGATAAGTTCAATATGGCTAAGTCATCACTAAAGATCACAGGTAAACTTAAAACAATTGATTTCCGGGTCTTTTCTACTCACTGAAATTATGTGGACAAACTAATTTTTTAAAAACTTCTTTTAAATTTTAACCAAACTCAATATACTTTTCTATTCCTTTCACCTTTTTTCAAGTACAGTTTATAGCCATGTTTTCTACGGTTAAGAATAATAATTTGTTCACCTTTGGGCAAAACCGAGACAGACTGTCTCCTTAAATTTTGCCTCCTTTGATTTCTCACTCTATTTGGTGCCCTACTTTTCACCTTATGGAACTTCAAATGCAACTTCCTTTCAGGTTGTAGATTTGCAGAGTCAGGTCATGGTTATAAGGGAAGGGGCGAGGGGAGACTTGCAGAAGTCTGGTCAGTGTGGTTTAACCATTTTTGCCATGTTGGGGCCAGATCCATGTCTCTCAACTTTTTTTTAATCTAATTTTTTTTAAAGAATTATTTTATTTGAGGCCAACAGTTGGCATAATGGCCATGTCGCTGGACTCCCACATAGTTGACCATGGTTCATGTCCCAGACCCGGTGGCTTAAAACTCACGCCAGGCACGTGTGTGTGCGTGCCCAAGATCCCGAGAGGAGAATGGAGGGAGAATGGAGGAGAAGGGATTGCGGTGTGACCATCCCCCCTGGGGGGTGATTTCTCGCTTTCTGTCTCTCTGTCTCTCTCTGTCTGTCTGGCGAGTGCACGCGCCCTATAGCAAAAACCTCTCAAAAAATTATTTTATTTAACTTTATTTATTTATTTTAATTTGAGCAGAGACAGACAGAGTAAGAGAGAGAAAGAGGGAGGGGCAGGGGGAGTGAGAAAGCAAGTCTCCAAATCTAGCACTTGAACCATGGTTGGTCACGTGGGAGTCCAGTGTCCTTAACCACCACGTCACCTGCCGGCCCCATCAACTTTTTTTTTTTTTTAACTTTGCCAGAGGGTGCATGTGTTTGCCAGAGAGAGTCAGAGAGACAGAGAAAGGGGGATAGGAAGAAAGCACTCCCTATGGGGGTGGTCATACCTCAATCCCTTCTCCTCCATTTCTCTGTTCTGTCAGGATTTGGGGCACACATGTACATGCCGTGCGTTTCTCAAGCCGCCAGGTCCAGGACTTGAACTGTGGGGTCAGTCACATGGGATCTAGCCACCTTTACCGCCAGGCCATGGAGCCAGCCCACGTCTCCCAACTTTGATGTGTTGGCGCTGAATACAAAGGGTTCCTCCAAAGTACTGGGGGGTGACATCCTGCACCACCGGTGCTAAGTTACCTTCACGAGAACCCGATAGGTGCTTGGATGAGAGGAATTTGCCTTCCACTGATCCATGTTTTGCATGGGAGAAATAATTCCAGTCTGTCTCTGCAAGACATGATGACGACCCTGTAAAATAGCGGATAGTCTCTGCCGATCAGATGCCACCGGACCAGGTGAATCAAGAGCTCCTTCAGGGCAGACATGTCTTCCCGTCACTCTGTATCCAGGCACTTAGCACAGTTTATAAGTTCTCCATAGACGTTTATTCACTGAACATGTAAATGAAGAAACTCCAGGCTTATCAGAAATTAATACCCAGCTTCTCAGGGCCTAGGCCCTTTAAGTATCAAAGAGGGCAGAGCCGGGAATCTGGCCCGATGATTTCAATACCAACCACTGCTACTTCCTGCCTGAGGAGGAGGCCAATCATCCTCTTGGCTTTTGCTGACGTGCTCCTGTTTATGTTTTATTCTGTAAGAGTCTGGGTCTCCAGCTCTCGCCTCATCCCTCACTGTCTACTAGCTAGTTTACTTCCCCTCCTAGACCCACATCCACTGGAGGGGCCACTAACAGAACCAACCTCTGAGAAACTCTGGCCTTGAGTTTAGGGTGATCCTTCTTATTTTGGTTCCAAAGGGCAACTACACACATGGAAATCTGCCTTGGAATAGTTTAAATGCATCACCTGCCCTAGCGTCTTCCTGGTGAAGAGCTCTTTTGACAAATCCAGAGACCCTGCTGCCATCCTCGGCTGCTATCTTGAGATCTCTGCCAACAAGGAGCTCCACCAGGAGGGGCTGCCCAGCGCCCTGCCGCCATCTCCTGGGGATGCCGATCGCCTCCTGCTCCTTAGGCCCTTGAGCTTGCTTTCCCGGACCATCTCCAACAAATCCCTGATAGCCTCAATGCACTGGAAGACATTGTAATCAGGGTGAAAAGAGAGTATTGTTTTGTTGCAGTGATGTGGGCCTCATACAAAAGTTAAAATAATAAAGCGAATGACCAAACTATGGAGTAAGTGCCTGTTTCCCATTAGCATGCCAAGAAGCTGGAGCCGGTTGGCTAAAGCTGACCCAAGGCCACCAGTGGACATACGCATTTTGCAAGTGAAAGCCTTTTGAGGTTTGAACTCAGGGTCATCAGGTACAGTGACATGCTTATAAGCTCCCTTTGGCACCAATCCTACAACTACATTGGAAAATATACCAGGATCTCCCCTATTTTCTTCTTTATTGTCAGCAAGAAAATGGCAACGTTTCTCTCTAAGAAAACTAAAAATCTAAGCAGGGAATCATTTTAGTCACCTTGATAGCAAAATAATTTTAGTTTATAAGTATTAGACATATGGAGTAGTAAGATAAAACAGAATAATATATTTATAAAATACATGAAAAGAAGAATTCCGATGATCTTACATAGCCAGTTTCCCACAGAAGTCAGCATGGAAGCAACTACAGAGGAAAAGAGAAAATGGCTCACCTGGCATAACACGCCAGTTAAATGGCAGGGGTATACATTGTCAGTTTTTATTTTCCCCAGAGGTGAGCGATTTCACCAGAGACAGAAAAGAGACAGGGAGACGGAGAAAGCACTCAACGCCAGGGAGTGGAGCGACACTGCAATCCTTTCTCCTCCATTTCTCCTTCTCTTGGCATTTTAGGCACGTGCACACACATGCCCAGTGTGATTTTCATGCTGCTGGGTCCAGGATTTGAACCATGAGGTCTGCCATGTGGGATCCAGCTCCCTTAACCACTAGGTCATGGCATCAGTCTGTCATAGCTTTTCTGATAGGCAATTTGACCACAGAGGTTAAAGCTTTGGGGCTGATTTCATGGCCTGGTAGTTAAGACAGCCAGCTCCCACATGGCCCATCATGAAGTTCAAATCTCAGACCCACTGGCATGAAAAGCACACCAAGCATGTGTGACCAAAATCCAAAAAAGAGGGAGAGGTAGAGGAGAATGGATTGCAGTGACCACTGAAGAGTGCTTTCTTCCCTCCTTCTCGTTCCCTCTCTCTTTGAGTAACTCTAGCACCTTCTAGCAAAAAAAAAAAAAAAAAAAAAAAAAAGAGAGAGAGAGAGAGAGGAAGAAAGGAGGAAGGAAGAAAAAGAAAAAGAAAATATTCAAACCATTTGAATCAATAATTTTACTTGTAAGAGTCTATCATAGGGGCCAGCAGGTGGCGTGGTGGTTGGGGCACTGGACTCCCACATGGCCAACCACAGTTTGAGTCCCAGACCTGGCAGCTTGCTTTCTCACTTTCTCTCCCCACCTCTCTCTGTCTCTTTCTGGTGAGTACATGTGCCATTTAGCAAATTAAATAATAAATAAATAAATAAATAAATAAATAAATAAATAAAACGAAATCATTCTTTAAAAAATAAAAATTAAAAAAGACTATCCTGGAAAAAAAAAGAACTAGAAAACTAAAGATTCCTGAAGAAAAAAATTCATTGCAGCTTTTTACCTTATAGTGATATGTTGAGAACAAACTTAGTACCCAACATTAGGAGAATGGTTAAGTTAATTGTAATACAGGCACACAATAGAATAATAAGTAATGCATTTTAAGCATGTTCTATTAATGACATTGGAAAATATTCAAGTAATAATGTTAAATATAAAAAAATAGAAAGTTACATATACAGTATTATGGACATTATTTTAAAATAATATTTGCACAGAAAAACAGACAACATGGGGGATAGAAAGGGGATTCATGAGAAAAAATTTAATGGACATGAGAACACATGTAAATTAGGGGAAGAGGCTTGGGACAATATATCACAGGATATAAAAATATGACAACTTTGGGCCAGTCAGGTGGTGAGCATGAGGCAGAGGGGGATGCCCATTACAGCCTTAACTAAGGGCACTCCCGCAAGTCACCACCTCCCAGCCAGTCTGGATCCCACATGACTGACTGCATGGTTGAATCCTGGACCTGGTGGCTTGAAAAACAGTGGGCATGTGCCTGTATGCCCCAAATCCTGAGGAGAATGGAGAAGGGACTGTGATGTGGTCATTTCCCATGGGGTGCTTTCTCACTTTCTGTCTCTCTCTCCAGTCAGCACCTGTGCCCTACAGCAAAAATTTAAACAAACAAAATATAGACAACTGTTGGGACCTGCTCAGCTGAACACATTTTCCTGAGTGGGGAGGCCGTGGATTAGGAATAAATGTAACAACAAACGCACAAAGACACGTATAGAAAAGTGAGGATCTGGTGGGCTGAATTTCTCTGATGGAGAAAGCTGCCGCTAGGAATTGGCCTCTTTCAAAGGGCAGACAATGGGGGAAGAGGAAATGGAATGCAAAGCCAATTGCTTTCGGATGTAAATCGTCTGAAGATGGGAAAACAACTGGCACCATGTAATTTTTCTGACTTTTTGGGGGGGCAAAATCTGATAAACACATATGGCTTCCTTATCAAGGACAACAGCCAGATAGTGTTTTCATATGCAAATGTTTTCATAGCCATGCAAATGAAGCTAACGGAAGCGCAGCACGTTTCTGCATGTGTCTAAAGGTACCGTGTTTACTCAGATTGGCCGCTCTCCACCGACAACTTAATACATATTTTGAAAAAGTCTAGTAGAATTACTAACAAATGTGCACAACATGGTACAATGTTCAATGTTGAAGAAGATGAATTTGTATATATTTCTGATTTTATTATTATATATCATATGGCTGCCTTAAAACACCACACTGTATGAAAAAAATACATCAATTGTACGTACATTGAAAAGCCATCATTTCAAAAATTAAAAATATACTTAAAAAAAAAGACAAGATGCACCAAAACATTAACACCATTTATGTCTGGATGATGAGATCGTGTGTGGTTTTGTATTCCTGTTTATAAGTGAGAGAATGATAGATGAGATATTCATTGCTCTCCATCGTATACCTTGTTTTCCTAGCATCAGTAAATACACCCAATTAAACTGTCGTCAGTGGAAGATCTAACAAAGTCACCAAAAGAAACGTTTCACATGTGAGACAGAAATGATCAGAAAGGATCTACAGCCAGACGGAATTTTATTTTTCTTGTACTTCCGGGTTGGGATATCAAGAGACCCACCCAGACCCATGTAGAAATCCCAGCAGAGGAAACCCAAGCCCACCTCCTAGAGAGGTCATCACAGAGAGAAATCATGTCGCAGGGAGAATCCCCTAAGAACTAGGGTGGCACTAGAGTAGGGCAGGGTCGTGGTGGCAAGGTAGAGGGGTTTTAAGGCAGACAGGCTTGAAGGCAGCTTCATGAAGCCCCCTACACCTTGTGGGGCACAGCAGCCAAATTTCCCCAAGTTCCCAGAAGAGGGATCACTCAGCTAAGAGAAGACCTGGGGTCTAGAAAGGATCCTCCATTGGAATAAGGCTCCCCTATTGGGAATGCAGGGAGGGTGGTCTTGCTGTGGATTGGATGGGGACAAGCGGGGCACTAGCTCACACGTGGATCCATCAGGTAGATGTGCCTGAGGACCAGGAGGGCAGGCTGCTGGGCGGAAGATGCCAGCATGGGTCCTTGCAGCATGAGGCAGAGGGGGATGCCCATTACAGCCTTAAGAGAGAAATCATGTCGCAGGGAGAATCCCCTAAGAACTAGGGTGGCACTAGAGTAGGGCAGGGTCGTGGTGGCAAGGTAGAGGGGTTTTAAGGCAGACAGGCTTGAAGGCAGCTTCATGAAGCCCCCTACACCTTGTGGGGCACAGCAGCCAAATTTCCCCAAGTTCCCAGAAGAGGGATCACTCAGCTAAGAGAAGACCTGGGGTCTAGAAAGGATCCTCCATTGGAATAAGGCTCCCCTATTGGGAATGCAGGGAGGGTGGTCTTGCTGTGGATTGGATGGGGACAAGCGGGGCACTAGCTCACACGTGGATCCATCAGGTAGATGTGCCTGAGGACCAGGAGGGCAGGCTGCTGGGCGGAAGATGCCAGCATGGGTCCTTGCAGCATGAGGCAGAGGGGGATGCCCATTACAGCCTTAACTAAGGGCACTCCCGCAAGTCACCACCTCCCTGCCTCAGGCTCGATTTAACCCGGGGGAGAAGATGCAGCAGGGACTGGATTTCAGCTGAAGGACCTGGGAAATCAGGTTACCTAGGTGTGAGTGTAAATTTTCACAAATAAGGCTCAAAGTCAGAAGTTCAGTGAATTGTAAAATTCAATCTACTGGGGTCAGAAGGCGGCATTGTGGTGACACAACTGGATCTACATGGAAAAGGTCCTCGGTTCTCATCCTGGGACCTCCTTCAATGCTAAGCAGGTGCCTATGATCCATGTTGACTGCCACTAGGGCTGGATCATGGTGTTGGGAGTGTCTGTCTCTTTTTCTCTCTCTCTCCTTGTGTGTGATTCTCTCATAAAAGAAACTTAAAATAGTAAAGCTGCATTTTATATGTTTGAACTTGTGACTTAGGAAATATGTACTCACTGAACATGTTTTATAGTTTCTGAACAGTCAGTAATGACTTTATTTAGTATTTTTGAAGAGTATTTAGAAGACAAGCTTTGCCTCCTCAAAAAGTCCGTGAGTCTGGGCCCTGAATGAAATGAGACAAGGCTGCTAGAACGTGGCCCCTGGTTTTGGGGATTCTCTTGCTAGGTGACCAGAGCCTGTCCTACGTCTCTAAGAGCCACGACCCCATCTTGGACAGAACCTAGAGTCCTGACCACATCTTCTGAGCGTCTGTGACTGATTACGAGCAGCAAATATGTGAACCCTCTTACAGCTGCCTTCTCTGCCCCATCACCACCCGCTCACCTCCCCCGATCAATATTAGTAAGTTTCCCTTTACAGGGCCTCCTTTTTTCTTTTTTCTTCTTTTTCTGAAGCAATATGAACAGCAGAACAAATCCGCCCACATGCAAGAATGACCTCCAAATATTTGAAGAACATGTTGGTCTCCATGTTAGGTCTTCTTTACTTCAGGCAAAACCAAACCAGGTCCTTGTATGGTATTTCCCAAGTCTCTCACTGTCCTGCCCACCCTTTTGGGATGGTCAAGGGCCACTTAAAAGGCGGTGCTTGGAGTCAACACCATGGCCAGAAAGTTACTCTATAATTCTGCCACAGCTGCGTGGAGGATCAAGGGGACATTTGTGTTCGTAGCTGCCACTGCAATGTCTCAGCCTGCAGCACTGGACTCAGACCCAGAGCTCTGTGAAACTAGTGGCTGTTGGGCCCAGACTCCCCTCTGCCCCACTGTGTACTGGCTCAGGATGTGGGGCTCCTGGGGCCAATCCCACTCTGCCACCAAGAGACCCAGGTCAGTGCCTGTCTGTGCTGTCACCTGAAGAGCCCTGGCAGTGACGTTTGGAAAAAGGAGGATGAGGGTCAGGAGACCCACACCACTCTGCTGCCATGTTCCTCCCTGGCCCTGCCTTGAGAACTTCCTTTTTTCACCTCCATTCCGCACTTTAGGCAGAATTATTTCCTTTCCTTTCTTCTCCCATCTTTCACCTCCCATAACTCAACTGTGCCTTTGTTATAACTGTGGGCCTTGCTCTTTCTCTAGGTCCTCTCTTGGAGGGGATAATCTCCCCAACATTAGAGAATTTTATCAGTTGACGAATGTCCTCCCTTCCCCCCTGCAGGCCCCATGGTGTGCTCGGACCACGGTAGAGGACACTTGCTCTGCTGCCCAAGTCATGCACTCTGGGCTGGCTGTGTGCACCTTGTCCTCAGCTGCCTCTTCTCTTTCCTGCTATTACCTGTTCCAAGCAGACTTTGGAGCATCTCCATTGACTTTGGCAGATTTCTTGGAGACCAATGATGTCTTAACCTGTTTGCTTTTCCGGGGCCGATGTTTGCAGGGATATTCTTGGAACCGGAACAGAAATCATCCCACGTTCTTGTGCAATTTTTCCAGCAGGCTCCAACAGATAAATAAAGCCACCTACCCTTCCACCGATCTACCTTTCTCAGCAGAGCATCTGGGTTGGTCTTGAAGCCTCCAGTCACTGCCCACTGGCCAGGATCTTGCTGGGGCAGCCATGAAGTCCCTTGCCCTGCTCTTCTGCCTTGCTCAGCTCTGGGGCTGCCACTCAGCCCCGCATGGTCCATGGGTGGGTTATTTGGTACTGAACTGTGATGACCCAGAAACAGAGCAAGCAGCCCTGGCGGCCGTGGACTACGTCAATCGCCACCTTCTTTGGGGATTCAAGCACATCTTGAACCAGATTGACAAAGTGAGGGTGTGGCCTCGGGTAAGTGAGCCTGCTGTGCAGGAGCGGGAAGAACCTCTGTGTGGAGCTCAGCCAGTGCCTCCGACACCAGCACAGATGAAACCGCAGAAGGGCAGACTCTCCGATTCCTCTTAGGAGCACGGGGGAGGCTGGGGCAGGCAGAGCGCGAGGAGAAGACATTCTATAGCACAGCCACGGATCTTAAGGAGGATGCTGGGTGAGGTGTGAGGTGGGCTGTAGGAGAAGAAAGGCTCTGAATAATAGTTGGAGATCACAGGTAGAAAGTGTGGGTTGCTGGAAAATCAAGGGCCCAAGATCCTGGCTTTGATTGGGTTGTCAGGAAAATCGTGATACAGTTTTGCATAGAAAAATACGTCAGGACTTTCCAGACAACCTAATAGTTGCCAAGTTATCACTGACCGATAAAACAATTCTTTCTTAGCTTTCGTATCATTCTGGTAAAGACTGAGAGTAAGTGAAGTTAGCATTTAGCATGCTACGTGGAGGCCCTTTCCTGGGGACCACCTCATCAATCCCTGCCCACCTTCCTCCCCAGTCGTGGGGCGTAGGTACCTTGCCAAGTACTGAGGTAGTAAGCCGTGTTTTTGCCCAAGGTCACATAATTAGTAAGCATCTGGGTGGAATTTGATTCCAGATCCAGGTCCTTCCTCGACGCAAGCTGCCTTTCTCAGAGTGACCTGCTTATCTCAGAGATAAGTCTTGGCATAGGCAGGATTCCCTTCCTTACTCACTAAACGAAGAACCCACGCAGCCTGAAACCAGTGACTAAAGACGAGGCTGAAAAAGGCACTTTGGGGATCAGCTGAGAGACTTAGAGAGGCAGGAAAAAGGTGTCTGTCAACTGCCTGTTTTAAAATTAAACCTGATATTTGATTAAGGATGATTATTTCAGCAAATATTACTACAAATCTTCCTTGGGCAAGACTCAGTGTTAGGAATGTGGGAAATATTAGGTCAAACCATGTACAACTGCCATTTTTGTTTATCAAAAGCAATCAAATATTGGCAACTTCAATAGTTCGCACTAATGCAGAGGCAAGCAGAGCTGGAGTTCACGAGAGAGTTACGATCTTGGAAGGAAAACGCAGTGGGCATGCGGGTGCCAGGGCTGACTGATGTCTGACATCTGATTCAACCAAGGGCACAACTATTCGAAAGCAGGGTGTCCCCAGACGGATTTTCAGAGTGCTGCAGCCATACTGGAGTACTGTAGAATGGTGGTCCAGCGAACACTGACCCATTCAGACCCACAAACACACGACATGCATATTTGAAGGGAAAGCTCAAGAGGTACGTTCCTTAAGAAGCCAGGTGTACCTGGCTCCTAGTCATTGCAGGGGTGAGTGTCTTGGGGAAGTTGCGAAACGCAGTCCTCTAGCAGGAGAAAGGGAAGATTCAAAGGTTTCAGAATCAGGCAGGTCCGAAATGAAAGGCAGATAGAGCTGGGCTAAGGGGAGGGGGAACATACTTGCAGCTCTGGATGTCCCAGGCTTTGAAGAAAAGGTGGGAGCAGGTGAGCTGACAAGAGCCACTAGTCTACACTAGTGAGTTTCCCCAGAGGGAAAAACGCTCTGCCTGGCCACTACCAGCAGGTGACAGTAGAGAGCAACATGTCACATCCTGGCATCTACAAGCCAAAACACACAAAGAGCCGAGGGAAACAGCAACACAAACATTTCAGAAGGGAAGAAAACAGTGGACGGAAGGAAAGCCAATGAGGAGAGGGAAGGAAGAAAGAATTACATGGAGGGACAAAGAAGTCCAGGGGTCTCAGCCCAGAGGGGGTTCCCATTCTGACCTGCACACTGGATCTATCGGGGGTCTGCTCACCCCTTTATTCTGTGTCTTCACAGAGGCCCTTCGGAGAGGTGTTTGAGATGGAAATCGACACCCTGGAGACCACCTGCCATGTTCTGGACCCCACCCCCCTGGCAAACTGCCCCGTGAGGCAGCTGCATGAACACGTGAGTGTCTTTCTCAGGGTGGCCACAGGAGGTGCCCAGCCCCATCCACCGAGTTCAGCCAAGGGTGGGCCATTTTGACCCAGCTTCCCAGGTCGCCTTCCAGGCCAGCCAGCGTGAAGTTTCTAAAACTGCCGTTTGATGCTGCGTCTCTGAGGCTGATTCTTACCATAATTTATCTTTCCTGTAGCCCTCCCTGAAAGCAGAGTGTAATGCTTCGTATTTCCCAGTGAAGGTGATTTTGTGAGGGACCGTGACCGGAGGTACAGTGAACGCCCAGCTCCCCTCCTGGGCACTCACTGTGGGTTTCTTTCTCCAGGCGGTGGAAGGAGACTGCAAAGTCCACGTGTTGAAACAGGACGGCCAGTTTCACGTGTTGTCTGCAAAATGCGATTCCAGCCCAGGTAGAGATTAATCTTGGTGTTTTTAGTTTGCAGAGGCAGTAGGGAAGGAATCTGAATGGCTTTCAACCTAAGTAGTTCTTGACACTTTGTCGGTGAAGAAACGGGAAAGCCAAATTTCCTGAGTTCTGGGTTTTTTTTTTTTTTTTTTTAGAGGATTTGCTGGAAAAGCCAGAAGGCCCACTGCTTGCTGTCCTGCTGAGTCTGAACACAAAGAGGACAGACACTGGGATGTGAGCTTCGGGAGTGCAGGCGACGGCACGGCACGGTTACTGGGTGCTGGGGGGCGCGGACAGGTCTCTGTACCTGCCATTCTGATGTTGACATGCCATCCACACCCAGCCACGTGCACTCACTTCTCCTCTCCATTCCGCCTTCTTCCTCAACCCTTTCCCTCCGTCTCATCTCCCCAGGGGCCTGCTCTTGTCTGCCTTCCAGCCTCACGCTCCGTCTTCTCTCCTCTCTGCTGTCTGAGTCTGTGCTCACATGTGCGTGGTCCGACTCTCACCCTCGCAAAGTCTTTATCTCCCCCATGCAGCGGCTCCCAAGCCTTGTCTCTGCAGATCCAGTGGACAGAGCTGTGTCCCCTTGCACTGCTGACGGTGGCCTCTGCACCCTCCCTGCAGCTGGACTGTAAACGTGCTGCACAGCACCCCAAGACTCCACACACCTTCCACCTGGGAACTGTGGCTGCCTATGCTCCCGAACCTCTGTAGTACATGACAGGAATGTTGTGCTTGAATCGCCACAGAGCGTGCACTGAGTGACTATCATCACCTCAGGAATTGTCATAACATGAGTGAAAGAGCTGTTTTAGAAATTCCCCTGCAATGAGTTTAAGTGTCTCTATTATATAACTACAGATAAATAATCTACTATGAAAGTTTTACTCTCTTTTCAAAGGAGCAATCATTTTATAAGGAAGCCTTTTTAAAGTTTAAGCCTTAAGAAGTAAGTCCTGGCATTTAAATCATTCCAAGTGTTTTGGCTATTGAGGTCAATGTATTAGCTGGTGGAAACCACAAACCTCTCACCAACTCATTCCAGATCTCAAGGACTCTAACTTCAGTAGTTCTTTTTTCTTTTCTTTTCTTTTTTTAGAGAGGTTTCTGCTATAGGGCGTGTGCGCTCGCCAGAGAGACAGAGAGAGACAGGGAGACAGGGAGACAGAAAGCGAGAAATCACCTCCCAGGGGGGATGGCCACGCCGCAATCCCTTCTCCTCCATTCTCCTCTCGGGATCTTGGGCATGCACGCACATGCGCCCGGCGTGAGTTTAAACCACTGGGTCTGGGACTCGAACCACGGTCGACTACATGGGAGTCCAGCGACATAGCCATTACGCTAACTGTTGGTCCCCTGCGTTCTGGAATTTTGAAACTTCTTGAAGAAATTGTTTTCATTTGAGGTAAAAACTGGCCCTTGATGACTGGCGCTTCTGCTGAAATGTTAGCATGCCACGAGTTAAGAAGAAGCAGAGAAGGGCTGGCTCCAAGGCTTGGTGCTTAAGGTGACCGGGCCTCACATGGCCCACCATGTGGTCGGAGTCCCAGACCAGGTGGTTGGAAAGACAGGACAGGTGTATGTGCGCGTGTGTGCCTCAAATCTCAAAAGTGGGCGAGATGGAGGAGAAGGATTGAGGCATGACCACTCCTCAAGAGGTATGTGAGGGGGTGCTTCCTCCTTGCTTGCTTTCTGCCTCTCTCTGGTGGTGAGTACATGCACCCACTAGGAAAAAACTAAAAGGCCAATAAAACATTTGAAGCCATATGGAGCACGCCGTAACCCTTTCTAAACAGGCAGTATGCAGAGCTGGGGCGATGCCGCAGAGATGACTGCTGAGACTGGGTTTCTCTCCTCCGCCCACAGACTCGGCCGAGGATGTGCGCAAAGTGTGCCCAGGCTGCGCCCTGCTGGTCCCACGTAACAACACCGCAGTGGTGCACGCTGCAGAAGCTGCCCTGGCTGCCTTCAATGCGCAGAGTAACGGCTCCTACTTTCAGCTGGTGGAAATTTCCAGGGCTCAACTTGTGGTAAAAACTGAGAGCTTTTTGACAGATTGGGTACTTTGGTGACACTTGAGGAATGTGGTGAAGCAGGGGTGAGGAAAGAGCGGGTGCGGGGCAGCTGTGAGAAGGCAAGGAAGGTGCTGGATGAAAGGGAAAAAAGGTTCCCCAGGGTAGGAGGATCCTGAGAATGATGCAGGCCTCCCTGCATGCTCAGCTACTCAAACATAAAGCAACCAGACACCGCAGGCGGGCACACCCTCACCTCCCCAGTACTCACTGGTCTCCGCACAGGGGTCACCCAGCACTCCTGAGCACCTGCAGCAGTCCCATAGTTCACACTTACAACGGGGCGAGCCTGCATATCCTCACAGGCTTATCATGGCGGGTTCCTCGCATGGCTTTGGAATCACTGGGAAAAGATCTACCTGGTGCTGCAGGGGGTTGAGTACCCCTTAATGCAATAGAATGCTAAGATTTAAGAAAACTGGTATTTAGCCATAACATACTTAGAGATACACCAGTATAGATGGCCATTCTATTAACCAGCATATAGGTTCTCAGAACACCCCCTCCCAGACTCTACCAGATGACAGGTGTTTTATGATCCTAAGTGTCCATAGAGTCTGAGTACTGTAAAAAAGAGAAGCACAGCCAATGATCTCCCATGGTTTCACCTCCAGTGTTTCCGTTGGTCCCGCTCTATGCGGTCAGTGGGAGAGCGTTCCTCTCATCGCTTGCCCGTTCCATCTTGGAGTAACCTCAGCCTTGGGTCTCAAGTACAGTCTCAAGAGCGACAGTGGGGGGAGTCAGGTTCCAACTCACACTAAAGTAAGCTTGGCCACCTAATTCCTGTTTCCTATCTGAACTCGCTCCTGAGTACTGAGTGGTGGGCAATTAATACTTGCTTGCAACCCCACAGCAACTACCCTAGATAGGCCAGTTAGGGGTGCATTTCCTAGTTCACACAACGTCGCCTATGTGGATGGTGATTCCCGAAATTGTTCCTTGTGCTGGGCCTCCCCCTCCCCTCCAGCCTTTCCTTCCCTGCCCTTCCCATTCTAAGTCCAGTTGCCTCAAGAGCATTTTCATTTCTTTTTCTCAGCCTCTCCCAGAGTCTACCTATGTGGAGTTCGTAGTGGCTGCTACTGACTGCGTTGCTAAAGAGGTCACAGACCAGAGCCAGTGCAACCTGCTGGCCGACAAGGTGAGCGGGCTGACGCCTGGGTGAGCGTACCCAGGCAGAACTGGTTGCGAAGCGGTATTCTTACAGAGCTTGAATCTTGCAGCTGTGGAAAAAGAGTAACAGTGCAAACTGCCCACTCCCTGTGCGGCTGAGTCATGTCATGCCTTCTTCGGGGTGCCACTCCCCCCGTCTTTGAGAGCTACCACCAAATTATGTCACTCACTGAAGGCACATGGAGCTAGGAGAAAGACAGAGGCTGTTTGTGGGTGAAGCCGAGTCAGAACCGGCTGCTCAATGGAAGTGCAGGCTCTAGATTTGCCCCCGACATGATGCTTTGAAGTACTTGAGCTGTAATGTCCACTTCTAGGAATTTAGTCCAAAAATATCATCAGCTATGTTCCTGTTCCACAGCAATTTACCTATAAAGATGAGTTATCAAAAATACAAAATGACAAAAGAAAAAAAGACTGAAGTGTCCAACTGGAGGGCATCATTGAAAAATGCATGGCATATCAATAAACAGAAAATGATGCAGACTCTAACAATTAAAGTGTTGAAGAAAATGAACGATATGAGAAAACACTTATGGTAGGTGAAATACATAGGACACAAAACGGTGTAGTCGTAATTATCTCGACTTTTAAATTACTTTGAGTGGTGTTTAAAAACGAGGGAGACATAATTCAGTGTTACCAGTAGTTTTTCCTGGCACCATTTCTGAGACGATGGGTCATCTCTCTCACTGTCAAAGTCTGTATTTCCTGTATTACATGAGGAACTATATATCTTCTCCAAGCAGAAATGGAAACCTTAAGAAAAAGATTTCTTTAAAGAATTAACCATTTACATCTTCTCACCTTGCTGTATTAAAGTGGCAATGAAAACAGGGGGAAATTCATTTCTTCAATCCGTTTAAGTAGCTTCTCTCTTTCTGCGGGCAGCAATATGGCTTCTGTAAGGCGACGCTCACTAAGAAACTTGGAGGGGAAGAGGTTGCAGTGACCTGCACGGTGTTCCAAACACAGGTAACAGCTTCATGGGTACTCTTGCCTGCACCTTCAAAATACAGTGACCCCGTCCCATGTATGCAGTGCACTCAGAGTTCCCGGCCATTTGCTGTCCTGCTGTCCTGGACTACGCAGTGGAAGGGAACGCTGAATCTGTGCAAGCGTGAACCAGTGGAGGGCTAGTTCAGCTGTGCCTTGCACTCTCGTGAGCTGGTGGCTACCGGGTAGGGCCATCCTGTGAGGCAGCTGACAAGGCCATCTCTTTATTTGTGCGAGGTGGGAGTGGTTTCCAGGAGTCAGGGACGAGGTGGCCAGATTCGCCTGGCAGCTCTTAGCCGCTTCACGTGTAGATGGTAAAGAGGATAGCAGGCTGGTAAAGGTTACCCACACTCATGGGACTTGTGCACCGAAGCCTACCGTCACCGAGATAGTCCTGGGGATACGGGGGCCACTAAAGACTAGTGACCTTGATGACAATCCTTCGTACCTTGCTAGTTATTTTTTACCTTGTAAATAAGAATTATTACTGTGAGCAAATTGGGCAGGAA